AACCATCAAAGTGGAATTTAAGCTCTTGAAGAAGGACCTCGGTCAATGGAATTCATTGAAAAGTCTGACAATTGTCATCCTTTAGTAGACTTCTTGAGAAAACCTGGATTAAAGCCATTAGACCGTGGACCTTTATCCTTCTAAAGTGCATAAAACCATTAAAAATCTTTCTTTGAAAACCTCGGTTCATGGAATTCATTGAAAAGTCTGACAATTGTCATCCTTTAGTAGACTTCTTGAGAAAGCCTGGATTAAAGCCATTAGACCCTGGATCTTTATCCTTCTAAAGTGCATAAAACCATTAAAAATCTTTCTTTGAAAACCTCTGCTCAAGAGACTCTCGACTTCTGTCGTCAAGTGACTTAAAGGTCAAATTGTGCAATTTTGGCCCCCCACTAAAAATCTTCTGGATATAGCTTAATGAAATAGGTTTTTACCCCATTCCTTAGATCCTCATTTCCCTTCACCACATAGTCGTTAATCTCCAAGTCCTCCACACAGTTGACCCTCCTATAATGATCGGTCATATAATGAAAAACTTAGTATTTCTGTCTCTCTCCTTGATCCATCTAGTTCTTGACTTTTGCCTCCAAGAGATCTCTTCTATTTGGATCTTGTTGGCCAATTCAAGTAGATAGACCCACTTCCCTCTCCTTCTTGTCAAGACTCTCCAACTCTTGGAATAAGGAATGAGTGACTAGAGACTCTCCCCCGTTCTCCTCTTTCGACCAATTTTTGATTTGGGTCTTTATCATCCACAATCTCATAGTCACCCTATAACTTGCATTCCCTTACACCCTCATACCATTCCACCAATCTTTAATTTTATCTTGAAAGCCCGTGACTTTTAACCGTTTGTTACAAATTTGAAGGGACAAAGCCCCCATTTTATCCATTAGAGTCAAGAAAAATATTGAAATGATCAGGAGATAGTGTGTTGTAGTTGTCTCCGACACATCCCTAGAGCTTGGAATTGACATGATATCAATACAAGAAATCTATCAATCGTAGGACAAGTTGGATTCGTCCGCTGATTCGACCAAGTCCATTTATCTCAAAGAGGTAAATCCAATAAATCTAGTTTCATCCATGTGTTCAAGAATTCATCAACACAAATTCTGGAGAAGTGTTCTGCAAATCTTTCTTGCTTGTGTAGAACCATGTTAAAATCACCTTCGACCACCTAAGGGAAATCCCATTCTTTTTGCATTCCCATTCTTTTTAACACCTATTGTTACCTGTTCGTTCTACCCTCAAACAAGCCGGAGATGGAGCAACTCACCACAATTTAGAATGCCATCATTCCATATGATTATAATCCTACTAGCAGCGCCATAAGTAGGTAATTCTTGTCAACCAATCTCTTTGATCTTCCATATGCTTTGAGCCATACTACTTAAAATGGAGCTTACTCTTGTTTATTGAAAGCAAATCACCTTAGATTTCCATTGGTTCACACTCCCCTAATCACAAGCCTCTTCTTGTGATCATTTATACTCCTAGCAGTGCATGAGATAATACGTCCTAACATAAAGCTAAATTTAAGTTCCCTCCTCTCCCTTCTTCTCCTCCTTTCTTCTGTTGTCGTGATTAATAGTAGAATACACCATTTTAATTATTTAGGCTTATCGACCCCTTCCTTCTTTCTACTTACATAAGCTTCTTTCCAACTTTTTCCTCCTTTTCTCATTTTTCTTAAACAAAGTCATGGCTTGCTCTTCAAGCTTTTGAAAACTCACCTCGACGCTCTCGGCCGAAAAGATTGCCAGTTGCAACACGGTAGCTTCTCTAGCCTCTTCCAGACCGCACACTTTCACTTATTTCAATTGCCAACACCGTTTCCTCCTCACTGACTGGCTTTTCTCCCATAAGGCTACATTCTCCTGGATTTCTATTAAAGTCACTGTCATTAGAGGACGTTTCAAACACTTTATTGGCCTCCTCTTCATTACGGCTGGCATCACGGTGCCTCTCTTCCCCAATTCTCAATGTTAACCGCCTCTGATGCTTACAGGTCACAAGCTTTCCATTCATGCTCGGCCTCAACATTCTGATGCTTATGGGTTTCCTTTTCCCTTTTGGCTTGTTTCCATCTACTGGGTTCTTTAGCCCTTAGCTCATTCAGGGTTTTCGAGCCATCAAAATGATGTAGGCTTTTTGTGTTTGTTCGGTTTTAAATTTAACTCGACCTAGTTTAATGTTGGATTGTTTCTTTCTTGTCTAGCTGTCATCCCTTAATCCTTCCTTTAGCACAACAGTATAATGTGCAACAGTCACCTCCACTTTCATTTTTTTTTTGAAATAAAAGTGAAGTATTATTATGCATAAGGTACCAAGAGGATACCACTCATGTACAAAATAGTTACAAATCTATCAATTGGTCGATGACCACACCCATATCATCTATGTCTTTATTATTATGACCCAACAAGATAGATCCAAAAGTGTGTATCCATCTATCCCTAATGTTATCAAAATTAGTCTCTAGCCCCAGAAAAGCTCTAGTATTTTTTTTTTCCAAATCACCCAAAAAATATTAAGTGAAATAAGAAATAAATGCCTCCCATTTTCTTTACACAACCCCTCCCAAGCCCAAAGTTCATTACTTACACTACCCACCATAACCCAATCCACCCCAATAAGCCTCAGAACAGAAAACCAAATGCTGTAAGTGACAGGAAAGCCCAATAACAAGTGGTAACAGGTCTCCTCATCGGCTTTGCATAAGAAGCACCTACTAATCAGCACCTATTAATCAGCACATTTCCTCTTCTTCTAAGCATGTCGATTGTTAAAATCCTCTGTTTAGCTGCTTCCCAAACACAAAATCCGATTCTGGGTGGTGCTTTAGATTTCCATATTCATATGAAAGGGGCAGAATGGGTGTAGTTGTTCTTACTCTTGGTTATGAATTCATGGTATGATTTAACAGTAAAGCCCCTCTTTTTGTCTAACTTCCAAATTCTTTTATCCTTATTCTCGGCAATGTTAATATTAGATAAACACACCTCCACTGTCATTTTTAGGACCACCTTGCAGCTCGTGCAGCTCAGCATGCATGGGATGGTTGCTTCAGCGACTACCAGGCTTTATTTTTAACTAAATAAAAAATTTACATCTTTTGTCCTCTCCTTTCTCTCACTTGCTCAAGCCTTAGCAACACCTTTCTTCCGAACTGTCTCCAGCAACAAGCCTCTGGCCCTTGCAGCCGCAAGATTAGAATGATGTCTACTTCCCTTCTCCTTTCTTACTTCATTTGCTCGTCTCACGCATGATCTCGCCGCGTCTCGCGCATGATCTTGCCGCGTCTCGCGCTTGCTTGTTGTCCATCTCCTCTGTTCATTTGGTGGTCGTCTCGCCCCTGCTTGTCTCTTTGTCGTCCTGATGCTATCCTTCACTTCACCTTTGCTCTTACTATTACTATACAAATAATACTTCAAATTAGATTTCTTATTTTTTATATTATGTTATTTCAGTATTCACAATTATTTTAATCAACCACAACAACTTCTTCTTTGGCTTATTGTCTTCTTATATCTTTTTTGGTAATTTCAGTATCGACATTATTTTCACCAAATACACCAATTTCTGCTTTTTAAGCGGGCAACACTTATATAACTATTTTTACCAACACATAATAGCTTCTTACTAAAAGTG